TGGGGAAAGCCCCCCGAGCCAACAGAGCAGGGGCCATGCCAGCCAGCCCCGCTCCCTCCGTGCATCCCCAAACTGTCCTTATTTCGGGTAACAGGGGGTTGAACCATCTCTGTTTCCCCCAAAGTGGGCAGCAGCCGGACAACGCGAGTGCTGCTGGAGAGGGGTGTTAGAAAAGCAGTTTCCTACGGGGCACTAGGGGTGAAGCGGGTTGGACAGCCGGGTTGCTGGGGGTGTCAGTGTTATAAATAATTCCGGTTCTGCCCGTCCCCACTCCTGGGGGCTCTCTGCAGGGCTGCAGCCCTAGAACCAGCCGACTTGGTTGGATTTGAGTCCGGTGAAGCACATGTTGTTGGAGCAGCCCCCGCCGTAGGTGGGGGGGCAGGCCGGGCCTGGCCGGCCCCCCCGCTTCTCCCAGCCAGTTGCCCCTAAAAAGAGAAGAGGCCATCACCTCTGAGCACCGTTGCCTCGCTGCTGAGAGCGCAGCAGCCGCCGAGGCGGGAGGATGGCATGGGAGGGGGTCTTCCCTCCTCTCACTTACTTGACGGCGTAGTTGCAGACGAGGAGGACAGCGTGCCGCCACGTGCTGCCCCAGACCCGCACGTTGGTGCAGGCGCCGAGGGCACAGCCCAGGCGGCTGGAGGATGCCCACACCATCTGCGCCGGGACAGAGAACAGGCGCTGTCGGCAACCGCCCGCCCAGGCATCCCGCAGCCGGTCGCCTCGGGACCCCGGCGCAGGGCTCCACCCCGCCAGGGAATCGCATCCTGCCCGCCCGGATTGCTCGGGCTGGGTGCTGTGCCCATCACGGCAGTGCTTTGTCACCAGAGGGTGATGCTTCGCTCTCCCTCTCCTGCCTGCAGCCCGTGCTGCCCTGCAAGGGGCTGCCTTGCCAAGCTCACTTCAATGAGCGGCACAGTCTGGGTCACTTCTCCGATTTACCCAAATTAGCTCCCAGACCTCGCCCTGAATCATTTCTGGCAGCTCACACTGCACACAGGGAGATGAAACATAGCCAGAAGCTCCTCCTAAAGCCTCTCCAGGCTGAATTTCTTCCTTAAAAAATGTGTCATCTTGCCCACTTGCAACCTGGAGCGTCCCCAAGCATCCCCATGGACGAGCCGCATGGGGATGCAGATGCTCGGGTAAAGGCTGGAGCCGGGCAGAGGAGGTAATCAGGGGTTGGCACAGCTCTGTCGCTGGCCGGGGGAGCAGAGGGAGGTTTTCCACCTCGTGCAGCCAGGCTGCTGG